GAAAATTAGGGTTGCTCACCACTAAGCTGGCCTTAGGGTCATGAATCTTTTGAGACACAGAAATTCTCAAAGACCATCCACTAAGTTATAAAGGGATCTACAATCCTTATCAGTAGATTTACTCAGACCTGTGAAATCGTGGTGCCTTGAGGTACTGACATATCCAACTACCAATACTTCTATAAATTTGGGCAAGAATTAAAATCATGTTAGGAACCAGGAGAGGGTATAAATCTTAGCTAACTGTGAAGAAATCCCTAGCACTGCCTCTAATTGGAAAGAAAATAGAATACTCCTGAAATGGGAAAAATAGAGTTCAGCTTAAAATCCAACTGGGGCATATAACTGTCTGCTATACCTGGATAAGGAACGGAAGGCAAGGGAAGGGAAAGGAATTTGCAAAGAGGGAAGGGGAGGAGAGGGAAAGGAAGGGAAGGGGAGGAAAGGGAAGGGAAGTTGAGAAGGGTGGGGAGGAGAGGAGAAGACAGGGGAGGGAAGTTGAGGAGGGGAACAGAGAGGGAGAGTCAGACAGAGAGGGAGAGTCAGAAACAGAAGTTATGTATATGTATGTTGTCTCCCCTGATAGAATGCAAGCTCTTTGAGGACAGGAACTGTTTCCATTTCTTCTTTGTACCCCCAGTATCTGGCACAGTGCCTGACACATAGTAGAATTTTAACAAATGTTTGTTGAAGGATTGACAAAAAGAGACTGATTTTTTTATGTCATCCCCAAGCTCAAATAACTTATATTTATATGGTGCTTTAAAGTTTTCAAGAATTTGGATGCTATACCACTTGGTACATATACTTAGTACTGATATTACTTCATTGTCTATGGTATCTCTTAGCAAGATGTTTCTATGGTACTTTGAAGTTTTCAAAGTACTTGGCATTACTAATCTCACTTGATTGGGACAACTCTGTATGGTAGGTGCTATTATTCTCTCCATTTTATAGCTAAGAAAACTGAGGCTTAAAGAGGTTGTGACTTGGATCAAAATGGGATAATGTATGTAAAGTGCCTCTTCAACCTTAAAGCACAATATTACTGCTAGTATTTGTTAAGTTTATATTATCATTAGTATCCTTATATTATATAATTATATTATCATTACTCTCACACAGATAGTTAAGTGTCTGAGGTAGGGTTTGAAGCCAGCTTCACCTGACTTCAGCAAGGTCCAGCTCTCTAGCCACAGTCCTTTGATGCTGACATTTTCCAAAGTCATTGAGTGGCCCTAATGACCCAAGTTGTCAGATTCAGTGACTCACTGGGTGAAGCGGCCTTGGCTTGATATCTCCATGGTAATGGCTCACAGCACCATTCAGATCCCTAAATGTCACTGTGTGGGAGGACAGGCTTTGGTAATGGAGCAAGGAGAGATTTAACAGTTGTTTTCTCTTCTACTACTACCCCTTCTGCTTTGGCAAATGGTGACCTTTCCCTGACTGTTTTGCCCTCTTGAGAAAGCTAACTGGCCATGGAAGGAGAGGATGTTTCTGTGGCTTACTTTTATTTCCTCCTGGCTGGAGCATGTATTTTTTTAAAGCCTGAAATTTATTCTTGTTTTCATTTAGCTTCATGCAGTACTTAAAGATTCTTAAGATATTTTACCATTATTTTAAAAAATATATTATTAATTTCTACCCTAATAAGGCAGGCCAGCCTGGTAATCTTTATGTGTGCTGGATCTTTCCCTTGAAGCCTGCAAAACTGAGACTGCTCTAGGATCCCACTCCAAGTATGGAGCAGGGCTGCTAATGAAACTCAGCTTTTATAGTCCTTATTAAATCAGCTGCAGGACCTGTTTTTCACTCTTAACCTCCATGCCCTCTCGTTCCCCAGGTACTACCCCAATGCTCCTGTTAGAACCAGGTCTTGGGAGTCAGGAAGCAAGGGATGGCTATCACAAAGAAAAACTAAATTGAGAGCTCTCTGGTTTTTCCAGTCCAAAAAGATTGAGTTTTAAAACAGGGAGCTCCTGCTTCAACCTCATGATCCTAACCATGGCCTCTGTAGCCCAAAGGGGCCAGACTGTAAGGCTGAGGATACATAGCAAATGCATATTTCATAAAAATCCAGGCATGGAAATTCTATTTTATGCTCAATGTACTCTGTGTTTCGCGGTATTTAAGGACAGAGCTGCATTTCGGAGGATGATAAATGATTTACTTCGGCTTTGGTCTGGATCAGTGTGCCTGACCTCAAGAGCCTCTAGAAGGCAGCTCTGTACCGAAGGAGGCTGCACGCTTTCCAGCTGAAGCCGGAAGCAAGCCAAGACCTCCGATTCCTTGGCTTGTCTTCATTATTTCCCGGTAGTTTAAATCCCATGATTCTCTCCACAGAGGAGATCTTTTCTCTGTAGCATCTATGCTTGGGTCTGACGTACAAAGGTGTAATTAGAACAGCATGGAGCAGGGAGAACATTCCACTTACCTCATCTTTAACATTTAAGCATGTTTCAAATATGTTTCTAATATCTTAGGTGCTGGGGGCCAAATTCTGCCTTTGGTTTTGTCAAAGCGTGAGGAGCTCCACACAGCCTCAGTCCCCTGGGATAAAGGTTATGCTTAGAAGGTGGTTGCTGTTATTGTTGTTGGTGTTGGTGTTGTTGGGGGGTGTGTGTGTGTGTGTGTGTGTGTGTGTGACATCTGTATGTGTGCATCTGTGGCAAATGTGTGTATGCATTTGGAAAGTCATTCAAGAAAAGAAGCATGCCAAGAAAATGACATAGTATAGTCCATAAATATTTTAGGTAAACTCGAGTTTGAAATTGCATCTATTTTTCTTCTGCTTAAGGTGAAATTCCCTTAATTAGTTTCCTTCAAATGATTCAATTCAAAGCAATTCAATAACTATTTAGAAGGGAGTGTGGTACAGTGGGATGGGCACTAGATTATCAGTTGGAACATCCAGGTTGAAATCCTAGCTCTGCAATTTCCTACCAGTTTGACCTTAGGCAAGTCACCTGACCTCTCTTAGCCTCAGTTTACTCATCTATAAAATGAGGAATTTTGTACTAGATTATCTTGGAGTGCCTTCCGGGTCTAAATGTATGAACCGCTCCTTACTATGTGCCAGAGATTGTGCTGAGATGTGGGGAGAGACAGAGGGAGAGACAGAGAGAGAGAAAAGAGAGAGAGAGAGAGAGAACACCCATCCCTGTCCTCAGGCAATTTACATTCTGCTTGATAGCACTAAAGTGGGATAAACTGAGAAACCTTCAGCTCTATGACTTTCTGGTCTTTAAATTAGTGTTCTTGTCTTACCATTTAAATAGGAAGTAATTGGTAGAGTTTAGTCCCTGTGGCATCTGTGCAGCATTTTGGCTCAAGCATATCATTGTCAGGCTACTCTGTAAGTGGACAGTTCTTTCCTTACCAGATGGAAATATGAATTTATGGGAAACCATGGGAAACATATGACTGGAAAAGCTAAGTGCCACTTCCTACCATCTTCCATTATGCAGAGATAACCAGGGAAGATTAAACCTCACCCTCTTCCACCTGCCCAACCTTCAGAGGAGATCATGAGATTGCAGGATGACTCCTTGGCCACGCTAAAAGACTATCAGACCTCAGTCTACAATTCGGCTCTGCCTGAGATACAGCTCCACCAAGGGGGAGGAGCCCACCCTGCTGGGGTGAAGGATAAAGAGGAGTGAAGGTGAAGGATCACCTTCAACCTGCCTTACATGTCTGATTCATCCTGCACACAGGTCTTCCCATGTCTCTCCCCTGCTCATTAAGCTCCAGTGACTCCCTCGCCCTGGCATCAAATATAGACTTTTCTGTTTGGCTTTTAAAGCTCTTTACAACCTAACTCCAGCCTTCTCCCTTTGACTCTCATGATTCAACCCAACTGATCAGCTTTCTGTACCTCCCACATGACACTCCATGCCTTTAAATTGGCTATCTCCTGTGTGTAGAAGGCATTTCTTCTTTACCTACACATCCTAGCATCCCTTGTTTTCCTTCAGAGTTTAGCTGAAGTGCCACCTTCTACGTGAGACCCTTCCTTATCCCCCAGATATTTGTGCCCCTCTTCCATTACTTTTTTAATATAGTTTGTATATATACATATATATATGTATATATGCACATACATATACTGAGAGAGATAGAGACAGAGAGACAGTAAGACATAGTGGTTACAGAGCTGACCTCAAAACCAGAAAGACCATCCTGCCTCTGACACATATTAACTGTGTGACCCTGAGCAAGTAACTTAATTTCTCAGTGTTCTAGACAATTCTCTAAGACTCTACACTGCAGAGGAGGTGGCTACCTGCTTTGCTAGTGAGAGTTCCCTCATCTGATAGTTCCCTAATGCAAAGGAAATCCTAGGTCTAATCCCAGTCCCTATATAAACATATTCTTTCCTCCAGGGAAAGTAACCTCTTGGAAGGCAGGCATTGTTTTATTTTTGTCTTCATATCCCCAGTATACTGTAAGTGCTTAATAAATGCTTGTTGATTGATTGATCAGTGATTGAGGGGCTTTGGTGGCTCCATCCCCACTCCTCCTAACTGGGGTTGACTCTCTAAACAGAGCGATTTGGAAACCCTGAACGTCTCTCTCCAACAGCCCACACCGCTGCAACCACAGCCATGTATAACGTTGGCCAGACCAACACTCATCCCAAACTCTCGCTCACAGCCAAACCTAAAACATCTTCGAAGCACTTGTATCTTGCGGCAAACTGAAAGCCAAATGGGGCAGCAGTCAAAGGAGAAACAGCAAGGCTGTCGAAAGAACTTTTGCAACTTGTTTTCCATCAAAAGCAAAGGGCATTAAAGGATGGAGAAGTAGGCTCTTGTTCAGCCTGGCTAAGGCAGAAATGAGATACATGTATAATGGAGGAGGAGATTATCTTTGGAAACCGAGCAAAACGCCTGAATGAGTCCCGAGACCCTGGCCTTGCTTTTCTTGGAACTCGGGATTGGGCCAAAAAGGACTGAACAGAAAGAACTCATGGCTTCCCAGAAATAGGAGGGCAATGTGTTTATTTAGTTAAATAAAAACTTTGTGAAAAATACAAACTGTTAAATACAAGAGACAATTCTATACAACTCAGTACAATCACAAGTATGTACACCGTATTTGTTTCATAGACACAGATAGACTTGCACCAAACCTCAGAGATGAGGCAAGTAATGGAAAATGTGACAACTCACAAGTCTGTCGGTCTCAGTAAAGTTTCAGAATTCAAGTGATTCCAGGCAAGGGGCCAAACTTAACTTGGCTTCTTTCAAACTTAAACAGCCCCCTTTGGAGTAAATCTACCCTTTGCATTTTAAGTGACCAAGAGAGCCCTTTTTTCCCCTCCCAAACATAAATTTCTTGTATCATTCTGATACAGCAGTGATGATCCAAGTTTTAAGCTGTTAACCCTTGCACAGGGAATACAGTTGCTGCAGCCTCCATCCCCCATCCCACTCATCCAGTCTCCTTCCTGCTACCCCTTCTTCCTTTTCTCATCCCCCCTCCCTCCTTTGCACACAAGGCAGACGTAAGAAAGTTTTCTTGTTCCCGTTCATTTTTCTTCTTTCTTTATTCTATGTCTCAAGTGTTCACCCTTTCTTCTAGGATCTAAGTGCCAGAAAGGATCAGTCACAAAGCTATTTTAACACAAGAATACGTGAAGGCATTTGGGGAGCATTGCCCGACGCCATTCTTTTAAACTTTCAATTCCCTTTGCTTGAGGCGCTGGCAAATTCATCCAAATATCAGCCTCGCAGTGTTCTGCACACCCCATTCCCAGGGAATCTCAGGACGCTTTCCAGACCAAATGAGTTGTCAGCCCCTTAGGTTCCTTCCTGGGAAAACCAAGTTCTCTCTGCACCCGGAGCCCTGGGTCTCTATCTATTCCTTTATCCACAGAATCCACACCCCCAACCCCAACCCTAACTAACTATGGGAAGAATATTTTGTACTCCCCAAAGCATCCCTCTCCCCAGGCAGGGAAGTATTTATTGCAGAGCCTTAAAAATCTAAAGAAATCCTCCCCCATGTCTCTGGGGAATAAGTATCATTATGAAACTCATTTGCCAAATGAGGACGCGGAGGCTTTGGGCCAATGCCCAGGACCACACAGCAAATGAGTGGTAGAACCAGGAACCAGAGGCCACGGGATTTGGCCCCCCATTCCTGTGCTCTCCGCGTGAGAAGGCCCTTCCTGCTTCCAGCTACGTGATAAAGGACCACATTTAGAAGGCCCCTATTACGTCTGTCTTGCAAAGAAAGTTGGCTAGAAAAAGACAAGGGGTGTCCACAGTAGTGCTCTGGCCTCTGTGGTGACAGCCAGGACAATACACCAAGACATCTGGGTGTTGGGAACAGTTCTCCAGCCATGCCTGCTAGCTGAAGGGAAAGTTAACGATTTGCCTTACCAACCTGAAAGAAGCTAATCCCCCAAATCAAAGAGCCAGCAAATGACATCAAAAGGTCAGAGGTTACACGTTAGGCCCCAGATGGTAAATTATGTAAATGGTCTCAAATGGCTTTAAGTAAAGACAGAATTCTTACAGTACGTGCGATAGATCATTGGGTTCAGGTGATCGATTTTTCACATCAAACTTTGCTTGCCATGCCTCTCATCCTAACCCTCGGAGGCCTTTGCAAGAAGTCTGCCCTGGTCTGTGAGCTGATAACAACAGAGAACCAGAAGAGATACTTAACAGTTAATCAGTGATCTAGGAGAACGAAGCTCTAGGGGCATTAGGGCATCAAAAGGAATCCCTGATATTAAGCAGATTCTCTCCACTGTTTCTAGAGGTTGGGTGGGACGAGTACTGGATTGGGGGCCACTTACTACCTGCTAGATTTTAGGCTAGTCACTTAAGGTTTTCTGGGCCTCAGTTTCCATTTTTATCAAAGAGAAATTTGGACTGATAACCTCTGAAGTCCCTTCCAGTGCTCAAGCTACGGTCCTAGACATTGCATAGCACTCTGAGCAAGGGCAGATGATGCAGTAACTATTACAAGCATCCAGAGAAATAACAGAAACGTCACCATCCCATGTTCTGAACAGGTACAATTAAAAACCTAGACATGGAATTAAATATACAAACTGCATCTCTTGGCAGGACTTTTCCAATGCCAAGTCCAGGTCACAAGCACATCATTTGACTCCTTGATCCTGCCACGTCAGGATGAGCCACTGTCCTGGGACCCGTGGTCTCTCTAAAGTGGCAGCTGCACCGGAGCAGTGGAATCGGACGCTGGGCATATCTCCTTCCTCTTGCTAAGTGTGCTGGCTAACACGGCCACCTCTGGAGGTCACCTCAGAGTGCTAGGAATTCTGGGGGATGTTCTCCGAAGACCCTTCGCTGCTTTCATGGAGCGGCGTCTCTGAGGTTTCTCCCAGCTCATCATCGGGCACTTCCTCCTGGATGGTGAAATGCACATCGGGTGAAGATGACTCCGAGCTCACGCTGCCTGCCTCCATGGAGCAGATGGTGCATGACAGAGCCGGTCCCATGCTCTCCTGAAGCATGTTCAGCATCAGGGGCACCTGGGTTGACCTCAGCCCCGACACGATTGGCAGAGGTTTCATGGCCTCCCCCCAGAGCCTTTCTTCATCCTTGTAGAGCAGAAGCAGGTTGGATTTCTTCTCCCTCCTCTTAGATTTCATGTAGCCCAGCATGATTCCAATCAAGAAGATGCCATAGAAGGACATGACAACCAGGACATAAAAGTACTCGCTACCACTCCCGCCCACACTGGTGGAGGTCTGGGGCTCCGGTAGGGAGCTGGATGTTTCAGGTAAGGAAGTGTTTGCAACTGCATCACCCATCTTGAGTATCAAAGTTGAACTTTCACGACCTGGGTCTGAAAGAGAAATTATGCAGGTTAGAGCCCCTAAAAGCCTCAGAGAACAGAAGGCTAAAAATAAGTTTTGCTGCCTTGCACATAGAAAAGGGGTGGGGGAACCCTAGAAAGACATTTAGTACAATGCATTTCTTTTGAAATTGGAAAAGTCTATCTCAAGAGAATAAAACTTCTAGACTTGTAAAATTAATCTTTCTAAGTTAACACTGCTTTGCATATCTTGCCAATGTTTCTTTAGACAAATAAAAAAAAAGAAAACCACAACAATCGTTTATTAGACATGCCCCCTCAAACATTCTTCTACGATAAATAAATATTGCTCACTTACCCTAAGAGACAGAGGGGAAAAATCCAACTGCAATCCTTAATTTCTTCTAACACAAAGTCCAACAGAAATCTTCCTCTCCCAGATGCCTGGAGTTCTGAAAGCTTTTTTGCTCCTGCAGCTGGGATATATATTCAAGAAATGTATTGTCACGTGTCCTGGAGGGAAAGTTTACAACAGACTTGGTCATGTTGGAGTGAACGGATGAACTCAGAAGTATTGCAGTTCAACTCACTAAACTCGACAGCTGTGAAAAGAAAAAGACTTGGGAATCTGTGTTTACTTCTTACTTCTGAACTGTGAGCCAAAGTTTTCAGGTGGCAATGAAAATAAAGCGGGGGGGGGGGGGAGGCAGAGAGAAAGAAATAGGCTCATTAAAACTGTTACACCAAGAACTGATTTTTATTTAAAAATCTGCTCTTTGGGAGTATTTCACCAGGTGTTTTTCCCTCCACCTCCCCTTCTCATACCATGCTGTAGATTATAATACATGGCCTCTAAAATAAAATTCATTCTTGGGAAATAATCACCTATATGCTATGTGAGAGGGATTATAGTCATCTAAATACAGCCTAGGTGTGGCTCAGAGTCAGCAGGGTTCAAGTTTGCCTCTGACATCTGCTAGGCACATGACCTTGGACAAGTCACTTAGATTTTTGCAGCCTCAAATTTCTATCAAATAGGAGGGTCATTGATCTTCTTCGAGAACAAAGGACCAATAACAATAACAACAGTGATAAGTCTTGCACTCCCTACTTCATAGGGTTGTGAAAGGTAAAGGGCTTTGCCATCTGTCCAGCCCTAATAAATGTGAGTTATCACAGCTAGTTAGTGACTCAAATCCAGGTGTTTCCCAATTCCCAGGCCAGTATTCTTTCTACCACCCCTTTCTGCCAAAACTTCTGTCACAAGAGTGATGACACATTAAGGTTTGCAAAGTACTTTTGAAAATATCCCATTTGATCCTCACAACAACTCTGGGAGGTAGATGCTACTATTATTCCTATTTTACATATGAGGAGACTCAGAGAAAGTAAGTGACCTGCCCAGGGTCACAATCTAGGAAAAGTTAGTGGTAGAATTTGAATCCAAGTCTTCATGACTTCAAGTACAGTATATCCACTATGGCAGACTGCCAATAATCTAAAGAGTCTATGATCTCATTGAAGAACTGAAGTACTTACTTGGCAGTGGAGATAGTGGAAAGAACACTATACTGAGAGCCTAGAAACTTAGATTCTAGTCCTATTTCTGTTACTGACTAGCTGGGTAGTCTTGGGGAAGCCACTCAGCTTCTCTGAAATGGAAAAGGCCTTGGACATGGAGTCAAGGACTTATATCCTTTTCACTCTCTCTGTGACTTTGGGCCAGTTAATTAATGTCTCTAGGCCACAATTTTCTCATCTATAAAATGAGATTACTAGACAAATTGACCTCTGGGGTCCCTTTCCATTCTCAGTCTTTGCTCCTATGATCTTACTTCCCAATCTGAAAAACGAAAGACTTTCACTGGGTTGATCCCAAATGGAACAGTTTATGATTTAAGACTTCTCATATTTTATGTTCTCCATTTCACCAGGTGCTTTTTACCCTACCTCCCCTTCTCACATTGTGCTATAGAATGTAATACATATCCCCAAAAATAAATTTCAATTCTTAGAAGGACCTGAGATTTCACCAATATAGATACTTCCTCCAATGGTACAGAAAGCAAGCCATCCACATCTACTCATCCCATGTGACTCTCATGCACGTCCTCCTATGACTCTTCTACAGGAAGAGATCTCTTGACGTCGAACACTAATGGAAGACACAGGTCATCTACTTGTTATCCCTCATACTTCCTGCAAGACCTGCCCAGTCACAGAATGTTAGACCTAGAAGAGGCCCCAGACTTTCCTAGCTCAGTCTCCTCTTTGCAGTTGAGGAGACTGAGTTTGTCTTATTTTTCTCATGGGAATGATTAGGTGTCTCAGTTGAACTAAAATCCTATATTAAGGAAAATCATTGAGGTTAGGTTCTACTGGAAGGATATCCCACAATTACCTGCCCCTCGCAAGCCTCAAAGAGTGCCAGATCGGAGTCAAAAGACATTAGTTCAAAGGCTGCCTCTGCCATTCACTTCCTATCTTATCTTGGGCAAGTTATTTAACTTCTCTGGGACTCAATGTGAGGGAGTTGGAGTGGATGACTTGTAAGGGGCCTTTCAGCTACACATCTATGATCCTATACTCCTTTGTTAGCCACTGGGGCAAAGGAGGGAAGATGGCATTTAGGATGGGCATGACCTACCAGAGTTGTTACTCCCACTCTAGGCCTCAGGGACCACAGACAAATACAAAGGGAAGTTGACAGTCTTTGGTCTGAAGATTCAGGACCTTTTCTTCCATCCTGGCTGGAAGATTTTTTTTAAAAAAGTCCCAGAGAGGACAGGAAAATTTTGATGAAAAGCCTTCAGGTAGACAGATTTATTTAGAGGTATAGTTAATTCTCAACTGAAGGAAGATTAGCCAGAGAAGATCTTACTGTCTTACTCTCATGTTACAGTATCATACTCTGCTTAACTATGAACTTTTTCCTACCCAAGTAGGACATTTCTTTGAGAGGCAGCAGTAATTAGAAAGCTGACCTTGGAACCAAGAAGACCTGGGTTCAGATTCAGCCTCTGACACTTACTGGTAACTCTGGTTAAGTCTTGGAAGCTCTCCAATCTCTGGGCAACTTTCTAAGACTCTGAGTTACACAGAAGGTGCCAGCCTGCTTTGTGAGAGGAGTTCTTCACTGGGAAGCTCCTTCCACCAATGGAACCAGAGGTCCTGTCTCACCCCACCCCCCAAAAAGTAGGACATGTGTTTAATCTAGCCCAACAGGAGTAGGAAGCGGTAGCATTTAAAACCAAAACCATTCCCTCCCTGACCCTGGACACATCCTGGAAGATAATACAGAGCACTTTACATGACAACAAGAAAACTGCTAAGCTGAATGGATGACTGTTGATTAGGGAATGGCCAGACAAATTGTATGTAAATACAACAGAATACTAGAGTACCATAAGAAACAACAAATAAGGTCCTGTGGAACCAGGATTAAAGCTCTTTCTCCTTAGAATTATCAAAGTCTTTCAAACATGGTTTCATTTCTTCCTCACCAAATTAAAGCAAAGGAAGAGATATCTCTTTCCTCCAAAAATTTTCAATCAAAGTTATGTTTCCACTTCTCTCCTGCCTTTATTTCCTTTCTTGCCACTTTCTGTCAGGAAGTCAGTCATTTCTGATGTCTAACCTTTGCATTCCCTGATACATTTTCATTTTCTACACATTTACCTCATCCCAAATACTTGGGTTTGAATTATGCAGTAGTTGGGAAATGCCAGAGCAAAGGCTCAACTTATGAAAGCAGCAGAATGGATAAGTAGTCCAGAAAAGCTTTAGGAAGTACGGACAAAGGGATGGAACTGAAGAAATCACTGGAATACATAGGAATGGTTCCTGTTCCAGTATCAGGGTAAATGGAGGAGACCATAATAATGTTGGAGAGATTGGATGCCCAAGGTAGTTGTGGTAATGGCATCAGAGAGGCACATCAGGGAGACAGTGGAACAAGCAGGGCTATTGAAGTCAGAGGACATGGCTTTGACTCTCAGCTTCATCACTTATTGTTTGTTACTTTTGTAACCTTAAGCAAGTCACTTAAATTCACTGACCTCCATTTCCTCATCTATAAAATTAAGGGGTCAGATTAAATGAAAGTCCCTTCCAACTGAAAGCTTATGGTCCTGTGAAAGGAAGAGTATATAATAAGTTCTGTTCATTTAATTTTGCCCCAGGAATAAAAATTTCTGGTTGCAACTCTGAGTCATGGCCTGGGGGAAATTTAGACAAATAGGTTTAGAGATAGGGGAGAGTCCGGCCCTTTAGTCTGTGGCTTTGTATCAGTCTGTGATGTACTAGCATGGTGTGGAAAGCAGGGGAAAAGTTGAGCAGTGAGGCAGGATGAAACATTGGGATTGTTTTCCACATCTCCTGAGTAGGCTATACAATGAACTTTGTCTTCGGGGATGGGGGGGAGTTTTCCTGGAAGATCAAACACTTTTACATTTAAACAGAAACATTAATTGGCAAAACAGAAGCTATTCCTGGATAATGTACTTTTTCATATGACTGGAGGCTGACTCCATCCTACTTTTGCTTGCTCTTGAAACTGTCAAAAGTTAATAGTCATATCCTTCTTCCATGCTTTTTCTACTGGTAGCCCTATGTCTAATACATTTTCAAAGGAATTTTCCCTCTGCATATTCCTGGAACACAACTTTCTCCACTGCCTGCAGTACTTTCATTTCCTGTCATCTTCACCGTTTTTCCCCAGGGAGCCTGGCCATACATCTCTGAAATTATAATATTGTGTCCTCTGACTAAACCAAGATCGTGCAGGAATGAAGAGAAAGTAGTGGGTCTCATCAGTTAGAACGTAAAGCTGGAGGTCAAGATAGCTGAGTGGGCGTGACCCCAGCCGGACCAAATTCGACATTGGATGAATCACTTAACTTTCTTGTACTTCAGTCCTTGTCTACTAAGATAATATATATAAAGCTTTTTGCAAGCCTAAAAGTGTTATGTAAATGTTAGCTGTCATCATTATTATTAATATGAACATCATTCTTAGTGCCTTTCAAGAAGGACAGGGATTCCAGGGCACCGTGGAGTGGGAAAATAAGGCAATGCTCTGCAGGACTGCTGACTTTGCCTTTTACTGATAAAACTGTTTTAATTGTGGAATTTTTTTCTCAATAGTTGTATCTGGTAAGTGTTTGACTCTTGCTGGGATCAAGCATTTATCATATCCTGAATCTCTATCTGGGTGCATTGTAGCATTCCTCAGAGTGTAAATGAACAGTGTTCTGTACTCTGAGGGTGCTGAATAAATGCGCTGGGACCTCATTGCAACTTGCCTCATGGTACAGCATACTTGGTGAACAGAACATCCTTCTTGGACACCATTTGGAGAGATTTTGTTACTGGAGCACAAAAAAAGAAAAAAGTCACTTCATAAAATTGTCCTCAGTATTAGAGCTGGGATCCAGGGTGGTTGTTATT